ACTACTACTACTACTACTACTTGCGTGCCAGATGGGTAACAAGAAATAGCAACTAAACTAATAATAGCAGTAATAAGAATACTTGTAATGTTAAACTTTGTAGCAGTCTCATTGAGAAATCTGAATATATGACTCTTGAGTCTGTGGGACTGTAGCTGTCCATGAACTGCCAGGGATGCAGGCCTTGCTTGGAACAGCGCTCGGACGACGGTGGCACCGCTCTCCACTATGCTGCTTTGGAAGGAGCTGGACATGTTTCCGCTGTTGTAAACAACTCCTACTTTTCCCGTGGCATTTCAGCAAACGGTCAGGAAATGCCATTGCCTTTGAAAGCTTGCTACAAGCAAGAGCCGATCCCGGCGCCATCGACTGTCAGGCGGAGTTAGGCCGAACTTTGCTGAGCACGGACAAGAGGACAGCTCATCGGTCTTTTGATAGCAGGGCCGAACACCGCTTGAGTTGGCAACGCCGGAGATCAAAGCCATGACAGGCTGGACACTCGACTTGAGCATCCAAAACCTCTCTTTCTCTCTCTTTGCTCTTTTTCACAGGCGAGATGGCGGCAAAATGCGGTGAGAAGAGTGAGAGCTTCCGCGAGGAGGGCAACGTGGAGAAGTTGGTTGCGCTCGGCAACAGTCTGCTGCATGGCTTGCAACTTCGAGCAGTGCATTACCTTCCCATCATTGCAACGGTCATAGTTGTTCTTATTGCGGGCATGGACGTCGTGGGGGCCTCTGCGGGGGTTGTTGTTATCGCTCCATCCATCCCCGAAGCAATAGTTGGATTCAATGATTCCGTCATCACTGTAGCAACCACGTGCAATCACGGAAATGCTTTGTCTCATCTCTGGACTTGCCCCAAGACTCGCACAAAAGAAGTACGATGGTGCCATCAAGACGTTTGATCGGGCGCTTGTGGAAGCACAAGTTGTATCGGACCAGGAGGCTGGGTTTGACATTGCGAGCTGACACTCCGGTTTCTTACAGTCGCCATGATCAGAGGAGAACGCCGCCACGAAAGATCAGCACCAACGGCGAAGCTTGGCATTGTACTGCTGCTGGTGTCACACATCACGAGGCGCCCATCCTGCGCTGAACTGTAAGGACGATACCAGATGTGCCAAGAGCTGGATGCTTGCCATTGGTTGTTACAGAACCGCCTGCGGCTTGTGTGGACTCTGCTATGGCGGCGACATGACTGTCTCCACGTCTCCCAAGGATGGTTTGCTGCAAGCCGGTGAAACCATGGGCGTCGGACGCCTAACTGCTAGAAGTAGAGAAGCAGGCATTTGGCGTGGGCTGTCACCGCCAATGTGCTGGCGTGTCCTGAGATCCTGCAATGTATCGGTATGGCCAGCAGCAGCGGAACAACAAACAGACAGACAGCGCTGCACATCCAGCCGAAAGCTTTTAGCTTTAGGCGAAGAAAAGAAGATTCCAGGAACAGGAAAGGACAACGTGCGCTGCAGCCCTTGCTTAAAGAAAGGAAAGGACACGACAAGACACAGTGACCTACCTCCCGGGCATGTCTGGCTATCTGCCGTGTTCACTTTCCTTTTCCCTTCTGCTGCCTGGAGTTTCTCTCGAGCCAAGGTCAGGGACAGCCTGCACGGCCTGCGTGCACAGAGACTTCCAGACCACCCGCAAATTTACGCTCCTCAGCAATGACCGGAGCAGATCCACACACTCCTTCTGCAAGATGCTGCAAGAATCGGCGATGTGGTGGCGATCTCAGGAGACTTTTTCGACTCCAGCGAGTCTGCAGAGGCGCGGCAGGATGCGTGCCTTGACAAGCTTACGCAGGAATCTTGAGAGAGTCCCTATACCGTCTCGCCAGTTCGGTGGTGGCAGCGTTGCTGGGGCTTTGCCTCGCACACATGGAGTGCGGAGAGCCGCAGAGCTGCATGGCGGCAGCCGATGCAGCGCTCCGGCTTTCCCCGGAGTCCTGGCAGGCGCACCTCAAAAGAAAAGCAGGGTAAATCTTAGGGTTTAGGGTTTAGGGTTCGGCTTAAGTTCCAGAAATTCTGCTAAAGAAGTTGCTGGCGAGCAGAGCTTCTTCAGGAGCATCCCTTGTGATTCTGAGAGGCCTTCTACGCTCGCGGGACCTGCTTCCTCCGGAGTGGAGACCTTCCACAGGCGGAAGAAGACCTTGCAGAAGCCTGGCGACTCCGGGCGAGGATGCCAAAGTCCGACAAAGAGGTCGCCGTCGCTACTAGGAACTACATAACTCACACTTCACGAATCCTTGGAGGCTCTGTGGGCCCGCATTGAGACACTCCGGCGGCTGCGGTGGGAGGAGGCGGCAGCAGCACGGCGGATGCTTGGAACAGGTGCAGCTCTTGAAGATTTCGCGTCGTTGCTGCATGGTGGGCCGATTCCAGCCCGTGTACGGAGCTCGGAAGTGTCATTGTGTCCTGGCCAGGTACGAGGAGCCTGGACACGATGGACTGACACCGACCGGACTCAGACAGCAGCAAAAAGATTTGCTGCACTTTGCCCAAGAGATCCCAAGAGGGGCCGACGCCAAATGCATTGCTGCTGGCCTCTAGGGTTTAGTTTCGAACAGGCGATTGCAACGACGGTGGTGGCCAAAGTGCAAGACATGAACGCACAGGAGATGATCGAAGCTGGGAAGGCCGGGTCCACCCGGGGCTGCTATGCTGGGCTTTTTTCAGGACTTGTCGAGAACTGCCTGGGCCTTCGCGGCATCCTCGGACCTGGAGCATGCAATAATCTGACGACTGAGCACGGTTTCTCCGAGGCAAATGCTCGCATCAAGCATGAGAAGCTCATGGATGAAATCTCTTGGGAGGTCAGAGGGCTCGTCCAAGTACTCTGCTACCGGTTTCTCCACTTGTTCAGTTGCTTCAATTCGAAGGCATGTCATGGCGTGACCGACCCACCTCAAACAACTGCAGAATATCTGTCGCCTCATGATTCAATCGGTTAGCCTGTAACTTGAGCATAATCTTGAAGCGAGTCGTTTCTCTGTTCCATAGGGTCTGTTTCTGGTCTCCCCAGCCCATGTTGTCATCCCGTGTTTGCCGAGCAGCCTACAAGCTTCGCTAGCTACGCGCGCAACCTTATGTTAACGATGTTATTTTTAAGTAGTATTATTCTATCTGGCCTCGGCCTAGCCGAGCAAGTTGATGTTAACTATCTTAAAAAGTCTTCGCAACTTGAGCTTAACTATCCTGAAAAGTCTGCTTCTTTCCAAAGATCCAAGCTGAATTCGAGCCGCCATGGTCATGGCACGACCGGATCTGGGGCTCGGCCTAGCCGAGAGGGGCCTGCCAGCTCTGAGGAGGCAGTTTCCTCACGTAGAGGCAGGGAGCCTCCGGCTCTTAGATTCAACATTTATCAGGGTTTAGGGTTTAGGGTTGTGCTCTGATAATGTTTTTGTCGTTTAGGAGGCATTTTAGGGCCCTAAACTCAAGAGCGGGAACTGCATCCTCCGAACCAGCATTTCTGCAGACCTTGCCAGGCTGTCCGAGTGAGAGTGTCAAAACAAATTCAAGGGCCCAGGAAACCACCGAAACGGTCCGAGAGAGAGAGCGAGAGAGAGAGACTTGCCAGGCCGATGCCTTGAACCTCTTCCTTGAATCGAGCGAGGAAGGGTCGGGCCTGGCGGATGATGCGCTGGCCGCCTTGGCGGACAGCGGCTCAGGAGCTCCCAGTGAGCTAAGCTTTCCGTGAGGATGCAACGCTGAGGACATGGAACGAGAAGCCGTCGCTGGCAAAGAGGATCAGCTGCTGGGCCTTGCATTGTTCCTGTTGCCGTTCTGAAGTCGGTCACGTCGTCGCGCTAGGGATACTCTTGCAGCCAGGTTTGGTCATTTGCCAATCCGTGGCTGTCGGGTGACGAGAAGAGATGGCTGCGGGTCGCTGCAGGTGCCAGGAAAGCCCTTGATTCGTAGCCTTTGCCTGGAATTTTGAACTGTTGACGACTCCTTGCCGCACCTGCCCTCGACGCCCCATATCATCCACCCCCAAAATACCCCGAGCCCTCCGTGGCTTGTTTGCAGGTCATCTTCGAGGGCGGAGAGAGCCCACCTCATGTCGGCACCGTCTTGTCGATGACTGGCCTGGAAGAGCTAGCGAAGTGCGAGAAGGAGCTCCGAACGAAAGTTGGTACGTGCAGTAGGCACACTTGATTGGACAGCAGCGAGCATGAGAACAGGAAATTGAATGTAACTAATGAGTCTTCCTTCTGTCGGATCACACGTGTGGAACGGTAGAACGACGCCGATGTTCCGTGCCTGAGCCGGGCTGAGCCGGACCGCAAAGGTGCTGCAGGCTGGACTTGTCCTTCCGACCGGTGAGGTCCTGGCGCTTCAGACAGGCTGCAACCCGACACTTGGAAGATCTCGAAACGCAGTCATCTAGAATGAACTGCGCACACCTCGGCACCAGCTGAGGACCAGCTTTCTGCTGCAAGAGTTTGGCATGCACGAACTGCGGGTCTGTAGCGGCAGTGCCCAAGAGGTTGAGCGCTGCTGGTTCATGGTGAGAAGCTCGTCACGGTAAGGGGGGAATCCGGATACCCTGTTGCTGACCAGTTTCGGGCACAATGGGTCGTAAGCTCCGAGCGTGGCTGCTTCCAAGGCTCGCCCCTGGGAGAGTATGGCGAAGCTCTTGATTTGTTCAACGATGCGTAACTTGGATGGGGCACAGTGACAGCGTTCATCATGAGGCGGTTGATGCTTCGTATTCTCAGCCCATGCCTACTAGCCGCGCGTGAGCTTTCCAAAGGTACGATTGGGTCTGGGATGGGGCCTGGACATCTGACCTCGAAGACTCCATTCTCAATCTCTTAGTCGCTCTGGACGAACGCTTTGAGGCCGTCGCAAATGGCTCCGGTGGCCCGGAAAGGACTTGGTCTGCACAAGGAGGGTCAGTCCTTACCCTTGATCATTGCCATCGTCGTCATCTGTAGCATATACTTACCCGGCCCCCATGTGCCATGCTGTATACTGTATGCTTTGGTGAAAGAATGATCTACACAGCAGAGTTGCACTCGTGCTGTCAGGTGGGCTCATGGCGCAGTCATTGATGTCCACCTTGTCATCGCCAAAGAAGCGCATGGAGAAGAATTTGTCGAAGGCTTTGGAATCACAGGACCCTTAAGCCATAAACGGATGGTTTCGAATTGTCTACATGCCCAATGTAGTGTGTCTTGAATGACACCTCAAATGCCCTGCGTTTCCTGCATGTTCTCGGTTCAAGACAAATTATGCGAAGAGGGCGTTGACCCAGCCGGTGCTGGAGTTGCATGGCCAACTCCCGTGCACCATATGCGTGATGACTACTATGAGATTCTGGGACTCCAAAGGGACGCAACTGCACGGGAGATCGTGCGCGCTTTCCGCCGGGCTTCTCTAAAGGTCCACCCTGATAAGGTGGTGTTGGCGAGCGAGTCCGAGCAGCTGTGGGCAGCCGAGAGCTTTGCTGCACTGCGGGAGGCATACGACACCTTGTCCGATCCGAAGCAAAGGGAAAGATACGATCAGAGGGCAAAGTGGATGTCCAGCCACCCTGATCAAGTTCGCCCGGCCACGTGCAATGGCATTTTGTTGGGGGCTGACAGAGGGCTCATGGCGATGGCACAAATCCCACAGCGAGCAGCCACAGCTGGTACAGGCAGCAAAGCACAGGGAAGATGGGATTGGCCATCACCGAGCATCGAGACCACCAGAGTCACCAGAGCTCCAAGCCGGGGTGCCAGCAGCGGCGTTTCGGGGTTCCCAGGCTTGTCCTGGGGTACTCAGCCAAGCAGAAACCTGAGCAGGCCTGGTTCCAGGGCAGGTGGAGCTGAGTCTCTGAAGCTTGATCCACTTCGCATGGTCCGCGTCCAGCGCCCAACACGGAATGTCGCAGTCTCTGCGAGTGGCCATGAGAAGACGTTTCTTCCCATAGAGTCTATGTGCCGCTTCGAGCGTGGAAAACACGGCCCTCTGCTTGCAGCCTGCAGCAATCCCCTCCCTGGTCGAGGGCATCCTTGAGGAAACGCAGCTGCTGGAGAGTGCAGAGGTCGTTAGGTCATTAAGACTTAGGACCGGCGTGCCAAAGCGCAATGAACTGGCCCCAAGTGGGCCCCTTTTGACTGGCGAAGTCAGTCCGAAGGAGAATCTGAAGACTTGAAAGCTGTACAGGGTGAATTCAACCATGGACTTGTCAGTTTGTGTCTTATGGGAAATGCAAAAGGAGCGAGTTTTGAGCGGTTTTGTTGGCCTTTCATCTTGCATGCAAGCGCCAAGTATGGCGAAGTTCACACTTGACAGAGGACACCCTCGCTTTGGGCCGGGCGGTGGGTTGCGTACGGGCATTCATCCTTGGCCAGAGCCTGATGGACATGTTTGCCCCGGCTGGTCAGGCACCGGCCTAGGGCCTTTGAGGCCTAGGTGTTGGGATCGAGTTTAGGATATTTTGGGGTTGGCCGGGTTTCGGGATATCTCGTTTCCTTGGTTTTTGTGCAGCGCAGCGAGCACCAACATCTGTACAGGATCTGCAAAGCAGTGCTTTCTACCAGAGCATCATGTCGTTCGAGCGGGCTCGGTTGGAGGCGGGGCACCTCCCTCAGAACCACTGTGCTCAGATAGGCCTGTGGTACTTGGTTCCTTTAACACATGTCCGGGTCTTCTGAATGATTCAATTCCAGGCTGTTTTTATTTCGTCGTCGTTGATGTGTTCTTCAGGCTAGCTTGAGAGTTGCACGAGTCGCGATGGCGCTTCTGATGTTCAAGATTGACATCCACCTAGCCTTGTGCTTTTGACAGACCAGCCGCGACTTACCTGCCCCACCCCAGCACATCATCTTGGTGTACATGAGGCTTAGCACAGGCTTGCCTTGCATGGAGGGTAGTATCACAGCACATACAGCACATTGCAGGGCGATCATAGATGCCCGCGAAAGAGCCTCCGGACTCGGCTTTGCCTGTCCGTGAACTGTAAACTTCAGGCAGCTTCAGTGTCGAAGCGCGATGAGCTTCAGCAAGCCTTGCGGCGCCTGGTCCTTGCGGCAGATGCCCACGTGGCTGACTTGTACAGTTCTGGTAAGGGTCAGGACAGCCCAGACTTGGCAGACTTGGCAAACTTGGTTTCTTGCAGCAACCAATACCAGGTTGAGTTTCTGCCAAAAGATCCAGGACTTCATCAAGAGATGGAGCGGTGGACTTCGCTCAGAGATATCTGCCATGCTGGAGGGCTCATCGATGCACCCGTTACCGTTCCAGCAGATGAGAGGACCATGTCGTTCTTGTGAGATGTGCCGATGCCTTCTGTCAAAAGCACAGCTCTCATCAGGAGGAGGTGGCGGCTATGTTGCCGACATGATGGCCCTTTGGATTTCGTGTTTGGCTTTCTTCCGGTCAGTGTTACATGTTGCTACAGAGAGCGTCCTCTCGTGGAGTCTGTGGCGCCTAGGCCTCCATGGCCGAGTCCTTCCAGGGCCCCGGGGGCCATGGCCGGGCGGAGACGACGGAAGCCATGACCACTCTGCCACCTCAGGCGCGCATGTGCGCCCGAGACTACTGTCACCAGCGGTACCAGCGACACCACCACCAGAATCAGAAGCAGAACTAGAAGCAGCAGCAGAATCAGCAGCAGAAGTGGAATCAGAATTAGAAGTAGCATCAGCATCCTAACAAGCCCCCCGAGTATGATGATGATAATGATGATGAGGATGAGGATGAGGATGAGGATGATAATGATGGTGGTGATGATGGTGATGATGGGCTCTTCTAGCTTCTAGCCGCATCTTCAAGCTGGATGGGGTCTCTTAGCTAGCTTTCCAGATTGCAGCCTGGCAGCAGAGCAGTCTCTTTAGAGAGGTGAGGATGAAGTGGCTCGTGCCGAATATGTCAGATGTCACTGCTCCTGTGAGGCCACATTTTCCATAGCCCAGTCGAAAATGACGCGCTGGACTGAAAGCCTTGTTGACGAGCAGATTTGCCGCCTGGATGAACAAGACGCTGCTGGGCGGTATGCGTGTGCTCGCAGACTTTCGTTTCAGCGTGTGCGACCAGCCAGGTATTGGCAGCCCCATGGCGCCGTGCGAAATACACTCCAGAGAGCCAGGGGTTGACGGCGTGCTTGCAACGCTTCACAGTACATTGAGTTTGGGCTTGGGCTATGTTTCTTCACAAGGCGCCAGCTTGTTCTGTTACATGCCAGCGATGCTTTCGGCTGTTGTGCGATGATAGCTGCAAGAGCTGACAACTATGACAATTAAGGGACAATAGTAGGGACCCCTGGAAGGGACCCCTAATCCTAATACCCTATATAACCCTTATATACCCCTTATATAGTCTCATAAAGCCCCTATATAGCCCCAAGGGTCCCTTTAAGGGTCTCTCCTTTAGTCCCTTGAGACAACTGGCTATGTCAGGCGATGGCTCTGAAACATCTAAGCTGGTGGCCTTGCTTGATCGGGTTCGTGCATCGTTGCCACTGCACGCTCAACAGGCCGGGTGTTCATGGCTGCTGGTTTCAGCCTCACTCGTGTGCCCTGAAGTTGTGGCAGTCTTCTCGTCACATAGGATTGTACTTCGGTCTGGCCTCGGGCAGAGAAGTTTTCTACTGCGTTTAGCAGCATGTGGCATACAGACATGGGACGCGGCACGCGAGCATGAGGATGCTAGATTGCTACATGCCTCCTCTGATGTAGCTACATCCTTGTGCGGACGTGACAGGACTTTCTACAGGACAAGCGACGGCGTGATCGACTGAAGGATGACTCTTGGTGTGCAGCAGCGCAAGTGGGGTCGTCGCTTGTCCTTCAAATGATCCTTCAACGAGGTCTGTCGTGTCGTGCGGGCTGCCCGGAAGAAGGGCCAGCGACTGAAGCTCTGCGTGAACTTAAACTTCACCAAGGCCGGGTAAGAGCTTGCATCTGCTAGTTCAGCCGCCCATCATCCAGCGACACTGCCGGCAGGCGCTGAATGCCCTGCGTGAGCATCATGAGGACGCGCTTTGATCTGTCACAGCTACAGATGGCAGAAGTGGGTACGCGCGGCAGAGGGTGTTCCTGCAGATACCTGCCCAGGACAGCTGGGTCGGCCCTGCTTTGGAGTCTGTTTGGGATGTAATGCAGCGCCTCAGCTCAAACTCTGTGCATTTTGACGTGGCTCCATGCGAACATCAGGGTTTGATGGGCACAGGAAGATGAAGCGGGTGTTTGGTTTCGAGCTCTGGCTGCATGAGGCCGGCAGACTCCAGCGATCTTGACGGCATCAGCCAAGTATTTTGACACGAATATATTATCTGTTGTATATCATATGTTATATATTATGCATTTTATATTGCATATTATATATTATACTGTATATTATATATAATGACAGTCAGTTCGTTGGCAGGAAGGGCAAGAGCCCCAGTTGATCGCAGCGGACTTCGGCCATGCGCATACCTTCGGCCGCGCTTACTACGTGGCCACGCGATTCTTTGATCGCCCTTCGGCCTGAAGATGGCGAGAATGGGGCATCCAAGCCGTCTCACCTGTGCTTGTCATGATGTATAAATGCAGTAGACCTCGCCTGAGCTTCGAGTGCGAGTGCTAAAGATAATACGAGAGATAATGTAGTAGATGCTCTCATAGACTATCATATACTATAGTATGCTATCATATACTTTTTTCATGATGCTAATGAAAAGAAACGTAACCTGTCTCTGGAGGCAAACATCGAACCCTGCAGCCGGGCTTCGTCTTGGCCTACGCAGAGGCAGCCTCCTGCCTGGATCTAGTCTCCGATGGACGCAGTAACCACAGAAGAAAAAATGCCCTGCCGTTTGATTATGTTACACTAACCTAGTATACTATTGCTCTCCGTATGATGTTATAGAATACAAATGTTACCCTAACCTAGTATACTATTACTCTCCGTATGATGTTATATAACACCAAAATGCTCTCTTGAGGAATGCCTGCGCCGTGCCGGCTTCGAGCTTTGGGACCTCGGGGGCGCGGATCATTCCCCGATGATGCAGTACAAGCCGCAGGTGGCCATGGCCTCTTGGCGTCAAGCCCACCGATGTAGTAGTCAGCGAAGCGGGTGGGGAAAAAGGTATGAGGATAGAATGCTACAGAATGCATGATACAGTATAGGACAATATGTTGTACTACTATAGTTGTAACATCTCCGGGCTTTTCTATAGATCGCATCGTTTTCATAGGCACGTCCCAACTGCGAGGAGATGCACCGGAGTGAATATCTGCTTCGTCTCCGGGAAATCGCGCGAGCTGAGTATGCGGCAATTTCCGAGGACTTTGGCAGAGCGATGCATAAATCGTCAAGGCTTAAGATCGGACTGGCAGGGGCAGTGGCGGATGTTCAGGTGATACCAGATTCATATCGAACTCTGTATTCAGAGCACGCGCAGTTTCTCTGTCTGCTTGTTTTCTGAAGCACCTTCTGGGACCTGGACATATACAGTTGAAATCCCCGTCGGGTGTGCTCCCATGTAGTGCAGTCGAACTAGTTGGCAGCATCCCGACCACCGAAACTCGCAGTGCAGAGCCACGGAATGCACAGAAAGTGCACTCGGACTACAACAGGTAAAGACCCGCCAATCTGAAATTGGACTTGGCTGGCTTGTGATGTTGGCTCGGTGCGAGATATAAAAACCCATAAACTCATACTGGTATAGACTCTATCACTATCGAGGTCTTGAGAGTTGGACCCGTTCCTGTGTCGTGTGTGTTGCAGCAGCAAGCCCGCAGAGGATCAAACGACATCTACTCCATCTTTCTCTGAGAGCCAGCAGCAGCTTGCTGGCATATTTTCTGGGAGGATGTCACGGTGTGCCGAGAAAATTTGAACTGTGGAGTCTAGCACAGTCGGAGGCGGAGGTGTTTGTTGCTGGTGCCGGATAGACTTCGCCCTCCCGAGATGAATTTCACAAGGCCCCCCAAGCAGCCCCCCTCAGCTGACAGGAAGCCTTTGGCGGATCTGGCTGCTGCACCGCCACCCGGGGGCGAGCGCGTTCCCGTGGGCGTGGTTTTCGAGGCAGGTCGAAGATGGCAGCTGAGTGTAGCTTTGATCAAGCAAGCTACCATTAAACCCTAAACCCTGAACCCTAAAATGACTGTGATTGTTGCAGGATCTCTCGGAGGATGAACTCTGGGGTGCTGCCGCCCTAAAGGCGGAGACCTTCACCTCCAAGTCAAGCAAAGCGCCCAAGGCCATGCCGGCGACCGCCATGACAACAAGCGCTGTTTGGGGTTTTGGGTTAACGATTTAGGGTTTGGGTTTGGGGCTCAGGGTTTGAAGGGTTTGGGGGCCCAGCGATCTCAGGGTTTAGGGTACGCATAGGGATTCAGGGCTTAGTGCATTGCAGTCCCTGCTCAAAAAAAGGGTACGCATAGGGTTTACGTTTCAGGGTTTAGGGTTTAGGGTTGTTGCGGCTGATTGGCAGAGTCTGGGTTCAAAAAGGGTTGTTGCGGTTCAGATCAGAGTTTAGGACTAGGATTTAGGGTTTTGGGTTGAGGCATGCTGGGGACCGGGCTGCTGTGTACGAGGCCTGCTGTAAAAAGGGTGTCATCACTCCAAGGAGCTTCTCGGCAAAAAGAGTGAAACCCAGCATTCAAGCTGTGTGCTTCGGATGAGGGTTCTGGCTGAGGGGTGAAGGACCTGTGGAGAGCACCCCCGAAACCCTGCAATTACAGAGCTCGCGTGGCCGGACCTGAAATGCACCCGGACGTGTCCGAAACTCCCCCCTTGAAGAGGCTGAAACGCATCCATTCAGTTCCGAACGGCGGACCTGAAACACAACTCGCCGGACACGAAACGGCGGACCCGAAACGCGCTTTGACCCATGTGGTTTCAGTAACACGGTCTCGTATTACCTTTGATGCTACTGCTACTCCTTTTACTGCTACTCCTGCTGTTGCTGCTGCTTCTGCTTCTGCTTCTGCTGCTGCTGCTGCTGCTGCTCGGTGATGAGGAGTTGGCCGCATCCGGGATTACCTGATGACAGTCATGTTCAGAATGATCGTGCCTCTTCCAGTTCAATGTAGAATCATCATGACAGAAGGGATGCTATGTTCTTGGTGTGCAGCGGTGGACATGCACAGGCTGAGACAAAAGCCAAGAAGCCCAAGAAGCATCCAGAGACCTTGGAGGCGGGGTGGATGGGCGAACCTCTGAAACGCCTGTTGATCCTTAGTACCACGGGTCAGCTTGCAGGTCCCCGGCCCTGCAGCCGAAACGGCGAAGGCGACGAACGGGCTGAAAGAGAAGCTTCCCAGCCTCTCCGGAGAGCCAGTCGAGGCGCAGCTTTGTCATGTTGCCTTGTGTATTTCTGCCCATAGACTCACGACATTTTTCGGGAGAGGCAAAGGAGATGCAAGGGTACCAGCCAACTACACGGCCAGCGCAACCTGCCAAGGTGGGGTTGCTGTTATCAGGTTTCCACGTCGAACGCCCACAAAGAAAGCAGGACAACGTGCTTGCTGCGTCAGGACGATGCAAAGCAGCAATTCTTGGCGGCTTTTCAGAAGCTCGTGTCAGAGGGCCTTTCCGAGACTGAGGCTCCAAGTGCTTCACGCGGTTTGGACGTTCATTGTCATGGCTCAATTCACAGCACATGCCAACAGTCGCGAGCACATTGCCTTGTGCCCCTCTTGAGCCAGAAATCGACACCGACATCACTGAACTTCCTAGTCGGAACACTCCAATGGCCAGGATCACCTTGTTGTATGAATTGAATCAAGATTAGGTGCGCTGTACTTCAGATGTGTGGAGAGCCGAGCATCCAAGAAGATTGCTTCTTGTGTGTTTTTGTAGCTTCTAGACGAGGCTAGATAGCTGCATAAGTCGTTTTGCGAGGTTTTGTGACGTTCAGTTTCGGAGATTTCCCACATGCAAAGCCATCAGAGCAAAGATGAAGGCAAGAGTCCCACAACATGGAATTCTCATATCACGTTAGTGTACAGAAGTTTCTCCAAGAAGGCCCGTACCTTCGCCTTGAGGCCGCCGCCAAAGCACTGCGACTAGTGCATGGTTGAGGTGGGCCTTGTAGAGTCAAAGTTGGTCCTTGCGCCTGGGTCTTGGGTCCATCAGAGCGATGGACTTGCTAGCAAAGTCAGACGAAAGGAAAAGAAGAGAGAGCACCATATACAGGTCACGCAAGCTCATGCTTTTGGAAATCTGAGGGCAGACGTGGGATGCTTTAAGTTTCCACAGAGCCAAAGATGAAACAAAGTCGAAGTGCCGTGCTCTGACAGGTTAGGAGCTCCTGCAGCACGCGACACTGGAGCTGCTGCCGTTCCACCCGTTTTCGCAGCGCCGGAGTGTGGTGCTGTTCTCTACCATCGACTATGGTCACCATCAGCCGAAAGTGCAGTCGATGCGGAGGAAAAGGGAAGGCGCAGTCCATGTTTGGAAACAAAGCGAGGCATCAGAACCACCAAATGTGGGTCCCAGAACCACCAGTTCAAATCCAAGAATCACCGCCACCGCTCTGAATTGACACTGCTGCTCGTTCGAGTGTTCCTACGACGACGACGACTACTACTACCCATTCAGACTTCTCATATGACTCATGAAATGAGTCACTAGTCACACTACTCATAGTCACGCTCCACTTACAACTCACGCCACCCATGCTATGGCTACTGTTATTGCCGGCTACTGCTGCCGTCCCTGCTACTACTTGCTATGCTTGCGAATGTTGCTCGCGGTGTTCTTCTTCTCCAGGTTCTCCTCTTATGACGGCGGTGGCTTCTAACTTTGAACAGCAGGTCATGGCAAAGATCCAAAGCTTTGGCAACCAGGACCTGTCCAATACTTCGTGGGTGTGGGCCCCAGTCATGTCGGCAAGCAGAAAGCAGATGACAAAAGGTCTGGTAACCTGGACCCGGGGCTCCTCGTAGATCCCGTGTGCTTAGCGATGCTTAAGCCATCTTAGGCGCATACCAAACAACCCAAGAGTTCACACCGGTGGTTGACGAACAGCGGCCGAGGCTTTTGCAAAGATGGCTGTTTCAAACGTGGGAACCCCTGCCTTTGTCAGAGTGTCTTTTTTGCGTGGCTTCAAGCTTGCCTTAGGCTGCTCTACTGTCAGGCGATGATGATGACAGCAATCGGGAAAAAGCTGGTCACCATGGTCAAGGAGAGGATGCAACCTTCATCGCCCCGGTCACGCCAGCAAGCAAAGTCTCTTCATCAGGACTTGATCCCGCAGGATCTGGCAAACACCGCGGTGGCCCCAATGCATCGCGTGGGGTCCAACGACAGCCGAAAAAAGGGCTGTGTTGAAGCGGCTCTTCAGCCTCAGAGAAAGAATTTGATCCCATGTGCTTTGCAAACCAAGGCATGGGCCTTTGCCACCCTGGGTCTTCCCGACAGCGGCTTGGCTGACAGTGTTCCCCACCTCAGGTCAGGAGAGATCTGCAGAACACTTGAAGAGAGGTGACCTCATGGATCAGATCTTACTGGAGGCTCGCTGTTCTACAGAACTCAGCAAGGGCCACCATCTCCCGACTCGCTGAAGTTCAGGTCATCGCCAAGGTGAGCGATTTCTCCACCCAGAACCTGGCAAATACTGCCTGGGCATATGCGAAGCTGGGATCCCAAGAACGGCTCGGTTTACAGCACCTTGGCTTCGAGATGCATCTTTGCCCTTCTTGCAGGCTTGGGCTCTGGAATGAGCGGCTTATGCAGACGTCTCGTACTGAGTTTGGGCCATTCGTGGCACGAGACATCACGAGACGCAGTGTTCTGCATGAGATTTGAACTTGCAAGGCTTTCCCTGGCAATTGTCCGCAAGGCCATGTTGCTCGCACATGTCCTGCAGTCGCTTTCCTGCTTCAGTTGTGAGTCTGGTGTTCCGTATCGGGTGCAGGTCAAAGACTTCGATGGGCAGGCATGGAATCATGCCGAAAACCGTGGTTTCAATCCGCAAGCGCTCTGAACCACCGAGTCTGACCGAGAGCGCTTTGGTCAGGGCCTGGCCAATGTGGCCTGGGCTTACGCAGTACTGGGCTTCAGGAGCCTCGCCCCCAGGTTTCCATTTCCCGATGCTGCCTACGACGCCGAAACTACCAATCCTTATATCCTGGCGCTACACAACTAGACACCGAGCTTTCATGAAGATGAGAGATATAAATATGGATTTCCGCGAGCTTCAGGCAAGAGGCTCTCGGAAGCTCTGCTCGCCGCTTCCCTTGAGAAGATCGCGGCCCAAGAGTTCGGAGCACAGGACTGTGACACCTACAAAAACACGGTATCTTTGGGAAGGCCCAGGGAGTCGTGAGCTGCGTCCATTCGCAGGAGTTGGCGAATCTGGCCTTTTCCTTCGATGTCACGGGCGACGAAGATCGTTTGCGAGCCTTCCTGGAGGCCTTTTACTTGTGTGCCAAGTCTTCTTCGCACGCCCGGCTTTGAATAGAACATTCGGGGTCTCTTGCTTGAGAGGCCGCGGTGCCTCGCTTTCTGTCGGTTGATGGTTTCTCGGATGCCGCAGCTGCACCCTCAGATAGTGGTTGACTCTGAAATTAAATTTGGTTCTTTGAAGTTTAACGAAGTACATAGGGGGCAGTGTCAGCATTATGCAAATTATGCATGTATGTATGTATGTATGTATGTAGCAGAGGGAGCACAAACCTCGCCTCACGCTGTTCGAGCACGAGTGCTAAACAAATGTATGTAGCAGGGACGGAAGCAAGGAAGGACGGAGGGAGGCAGGGAGGGAGGGAGGGAAGGAAGTGAGGTGGGTACAAGTTTATTACGTGATTTTTACATACATGCATACATACATAAAGGCATCCATCTAACCATTTATCTGCTTAATTAACTACCTGAATAGAAACGGTTCGTTGGAGTGTCAAAGCGTATGTGTTCGTGTGCCTGTGGTCCGCCCGTATGAATGTATGATAATGTATGTGCTGCACGCACTGACGCTCGAATATCGGCACAGTGGTGCCAAATGTTAAGCGGTTAAGTACTGCAGTGTCTCATAGATCTTCAAAGCTTGTGTCATGACACGAAAACGACTGAGACAGACATGTACTCGAAAACGATGCCAGCTTAGAAGAACCCGACAGAGCATATAGAATGCATGCGTCTACAATTACAACCGTGTTTGTACTTTTCCTTGTGGCAACCACTGAGATGACCCTTTTGCAAATTGAGTGTTAAAAGCACTCGAGAATGGCAGTCAGCAGCTTAGAACATCCCGTAATGCTGTATCACATCACAAACTAAGGAAACTTTTGTTCACATTACTTGGAGGGTCGGGGGACGTAGTAAGTGGGTAATGAGTAGACTTATAAGTACCGTAAATGGACCCTATAATTAAAAAGGGCCCTAGTTGGGGTTGTGATACTAATAAGTCTATAAAACATAACTATTTACTAAGAGTCCCCCGACCCTCCAAGTAGCAACTTACGAGCTGGGAATGCGCAAGATTCGAAAGCTGCAGTTTATTTAGCTACGCCGTAGTGCCAGAACTGCTTGTACCAGATCCAAGCAGAGAACGCGTGCATGCAGCAAGGAGAAGTGCAATTGTAATCCTGTGCATGTATGTGCATGTATGAAACCGTATCTCAACTGGCAAAATAGTATTAGAATGGAACCTTCGAACTTCATGTACAGAAGACGAGTTGGGTGTGTGTGTGTGTGTGAAGAAATGATTGGATGGTGTCATGTAGAAAGGCGGCGCACAGACTAGTAACGCAATGAATCGTATTAGTGCAAAACAAGAGAGACTATGCCGAATCAGGCGCTGGTACAGCCAAGGCCAGTACTGAGCTCGCGAACATCGTGGCTCGCCACCGGTTTCGGAGCAGAGGCCATGGGCTCGGCGACGCCGTATTTCTAGAGTCTTGGGCCGGCTCACGGCTGCACGTCATCAACACTTTGGACATAATCTGTTTCACGAGGTGCGGAAGAATTAGATGTGGAGTTTCGCCAGCGCTTCTTCCACCCTGTCTTGAGGGCATTGCAGAAATGCGTGGAGCTCGATGCAGAGGCAGCAGATATGCCACCGCCGCACTTCTTCACGTCTCCAGGTGCGACGCCCGGAGGAGACTCTGTGGAGGAGTCTGACAAAATCGTCGAGGAGCTAGCGGAAGAGGTGACAACAGCCGGAAGCTGGGCAAAATGCGGGCATGACTTCGTAGCCGCCATTCAGAGTCACCCCTTCCACTTGAGGACTCACAAATTTTGGTGACTGGGCTGAAGCAACTCAACTACCGTTTGTCCGTGAAGCTGCAGGCATGCACACAGACTGGCATGTCGCCCAATTGCTCTCTGCTGTCCCAAGGTTACGTCTATGCACGACAGGCCATGCAAGAGCTAGGCTGGAAGCTGCGGTGTGAGTTCGTGCTGCCCACCAGTTATGCCTGAAGCACAAGGTTTTCGGATCTGCGATGGGAGCGAACGCCCGGAATGGGTGATGGAAGCCAGAGCGTTGGCAAGAAGCCAGCTGGAGGAATGGCGTATTCCTGGCACCGAAAACATTGTCGCCAGGTCCCCAACAACTTCTCCAAAACGCTTTGTGCGACTGTCAACTCAAAACGACGTAACTTCGGAGGCCGTAATCTCCTACGAGCTGCACTACAGCGCCCTAGCTGGCTGAGAGCTGTAAGTACGAAGAGTTCTTTCAAACTGACCGTCCTGACTGGCTTGCGACATGCTCAGAGTGCTTTCCTCTCGACCGCTCGCGCAGGCGGTGAGGTGCTGCGCCGCGAGCCCACGGTGGTCACGAGCGGCTGGGCCGAAGGCGTCCACGATGAGGTCAAGGCACAGCGTTCCGCCGAGGGTTGGGTTTTGGGTTTTGGGTCTTGGGTTTAGGGTTTAGGGTTTTTGCCGGGGGGGGGGGATTCCATCATCACAATCAGCTCAAAGTACTCGCACCTTGCTGGTCAGGCCATGTTACGGCCGGTGGATGCCCGGGGCTGGTCCTGCGAGTCCTACTCTGAGCGAGTGGCGCTACTGGAACTTATTGAGGCGGAGCCCGGAAGCTCGGACCGTGCCCGGTTTAGGGTTGAGGGTCTTGTGAGGATGTTGCTTACAAGCGAGACGTGTGCAAGTGTTGCGGTATCTAGTCTATGCCAGTTGCAGCATCACCATCTCCGTGGACTACTGTGAGTTTGGTCGTTTTCAAAGTTGGACCGAGGATGTTTGAGGTTCGAAGGTCAATTGTATTGTTGGATGTTTCATGGCTGGGAGGCTTCCCAAAAATCATGGGCACTAGTTTCTTTAAGTTCCCCCCCCAAAAAGGGGAAGTGACGCTACTCACAGCAGAACCCGGTCAGGCTGCCAGATGCAGGTTCGGCGATGAATCCGTGTCGGAGCTGACGGGCTGGGTCCGGATGTACCACTCGCATCACACAAGTGTGCAGCTGAAGCTGCAAGAGAGGGGAGCATCAGTCAAAGCCGGTTAGGCGTTTGCCTAGGGCCTTGAGCCTAGTCTCGCCCGATACTGGATACTCGTCACCAAGGACGGGGCTTGGAGTGTTTTGCCAGTTTCGTCGCCACGTCCCCAAGGCAACGGCCTATCGATTGCTTTTCCGTCGCCTTTTGGCTGTGGCACATGTGTCACCGAAGCTCTCCAGGTCAGCTTGGACTTGGACTTTGATGGAGCCTGGTACACATGGGCGGGCAACCCTCGTCCGTTAACAATGCTCTCCGATGAGCTCAGCTTGCATAAAGATTCACAGTGGACCAAGCTTTGATCTTTGGGCATGTCTTAGCGCTCCGAGGAAGAGAGCCTCTACTACTACGGCTGAAGCCGGTTGCTGATTTTCCACGACAGCGACTGGTTGACGAAGAGCAGTGATCGATTGCCGCGACGAGCAATCGCTGTCAAATGCTTCCTTGTCACATCGGCACATCAGAACTTGCACATCTCAAAGGCTCACGTCTTTCTTGCGCAGCTTTCGCACTCAATCTGGGGCTAGCAGCCCAATGGACCTCTGGAACGCACGGCACAAAGATTTAATCACATTCTACAGGGAACGTGCAGGGTGCTTACTCACCCAAAGCCGATGGATAGCCGGCTATCCTCCAAGACCTCCACAGCGAGCTACGCGACTGCCAGGGGGAAAGGGAGGTTTGGGGGTTTAGGCTTAGGGCCTTCCACAGGTGCTTTTTATGTGATCGGTGGTCGCTGCTAAGGTGGAGCAGGAGCCTACTCCCTGGAAGTGTCCCACCTGCGCCAGTCAGCGTGACCCAGACGCAAACCCGAGGGATCCTCCACTATAGTAAGCTATAGTAAGTGCAATGCTAGTATGAGTGTTTTCAAAAATAGGGGACCCTAGTATAGCATCTTAAATAGTAGGATCCTTATTATTAATAAGGACCCCCCAAAATAGGGTACCCCTAACTTTCGGAAACAGAGAGTGGAATGTGCAGGCCCCGGACCTTCTGACTTAGTATGTGCAGCCTCTGACCTTGACCCTCAAACGACTTCCCTGCCGTGCGACCTAGTCAGCTGAGCGGGTGGGAAAAAAAACTTTCGGCAACTCCCGTCTATTCCGGTTTGGCCTGAAGGAGATCGGTGAGATGGGACCTGCCCCGACTGCGCGACAAGCATGACGAGAGAGGGGACGCTTCGCAGAAGTTAGCCTCTGGGACTTTCCGAAAATAAGGGGTACCCTCTTTTGGGGTCCTTATCATAAGGATCCAAAAATTTAGAAACCCCCATATGTGCAGCATAGCGTAATAGTGAATTGTTAGCCTTTTCTGGTGTATGCTAACTATGCGTAGCTTCACGGTAGCTTGTCATTGGAGATGACGGCGGGTGATGTTTGAAAGTTGGCTGAGCGGTTGAGCAAGAGATTCAGTTGACTCCACAAGGTGACCAAGCAAGAGGCTTTTTGCTGGATTCTATTTGGCTCCTCCTTGGTGCCTTGGATTGACGGAACGGGTGCAGGACTTTAGCGACAAAGCCGTTGTTTCCTTGTCGCCTCAGCTGAGGCTACTATAGCCATGCACTTCGCGAAGGGACAGACGCTGCCGCGCTTGTTGCTGGCTCTCTTTACGTACTGGCACCTTGTTTGACATCATGGTGTGTGCGATCGGACCGTAGCGCTAGCCATAGCATGTCATCCGTATCGAAATTTGCACCAAGGAGCCTTTATGCTGCATCGGCCGAATATGCTCCTGGGCGATAATCCAGAACAAGGATCAAAGGAACCATCGAAGAAGAGGAATTGCAGCAAGCAAAACAGACGACATGAAAGACCAATTACCGGAGGTGCGCGGCAAAGAAGCACACGGCAGCAACAATAAGACAACGAAGAAGCTGCAACTCCAAAACAGTCCACACACCCCACTCTCCCCCACGGGATATTGCGAGTTGATCCGGAGAGGTATTGTAGAGGCGACGGCCTGCACCGTACGGTCCTGCCTGAAAGATCTTCCCTGCTGTGCTCTTGCCTTCCCTGAGTCTACCCGATTCAGTGCTGACGGATCAGATCATCGTGTGTTCTACATCCTGCCGCTAGGCTGCAGGCAGACACCACTCAGTATTGGCATAGCACTACGCAAGCGTAGTGACACAGTCTCTAGCAAGCAGCACGGCAAAGAGTTTTCCCGCCGAAGCGGCCTCTTTCGTGCTCTTGGCGCTGCTCTCGCTCCATGCTTTCGATTGTCTACGGCTCAAGGACTCCTCGCACCAGTGCCCTCAGTAGCCATCAG